GGGTCAGATCGTGACGCAGAAGAAATCAGGCATTTGCCCAAAGTCACAAGCATTCCCACTGTGAAGTGGAGACTTGCCCACTCCAGGAAGAGAAACAAGGAATTGGAAAGTGAAAAACAATTGCACACCACAAGCTGAGACGCAAATTTAAATGTACAGACATGTAGACAAGACAACAGAGTTGTAGTCTTAGTCTGATCCTGAATGTCGAGAAGATAATAAATGTTTGGAAATATATGTATGTAGAGAGAAACGATGACTTATTTTGTAAGAAGTGATGGGATTTCAAAATGAATGACAATTATTCTTTCACAAACTGATGTGCCAGGCTGTGTGTCAGCCATGGTTCCTTCCCCCTGCTCCTCAAAGCATGTCCATGATCTACAAGGCACATGCCAACAATACAATAGAATTACTCTCAACTTGCCTGGAGGAATGCATCTTCAACAACACTCAAAAAGCTCGACACCATCCCACACAAAGTAGCGTGTTTGGTCAGCACTCTATTCGTTCACTATGTTCACCACCTACATGCATTGGCAGTAACTTATATCACCACACAAAGTAGCGTGTTTGGTCAGCACTCTATTCGTTCACTATGTTCACCACCTACATGCATTGGCAGTAACTTATATCATCTGCAAGATACAGTGCAGCACCTCATCGAGGCGTCTTTGCTTCTTTGACACGTCTTCCAAAACCAGTATCCTATACAACCTTGAAGGACAAAGGCAGCAGATGTGAGCATCCCTCCTGTAGGAAGGATGTTGTGAAACTAGAAAGGGTTCAGAAAAGATTTACAAGGATGTTGCCAGGGTCGGAGGGTTTGAGCCATAGGGAGAAGCTGAATAGGCTGGGGCTATTTTCCCTGGAGCCTCGGAGGCTGAGGGGTGACCTTATAGAGGTTTATAAAATCATGAGGGGCATGGATAGGGTAAATAGACAAGGTCTTTTCCCCAGTGTTGGGGAATCCAAAACAAGAGGGCATAAGTTTAAGGTGAAAGGGGAAAGATATAAAAGGGATCTAAGGGGCAACTTTTTCACGTAGAGGATGGTTCATGTATGGAATGAGCTGCCAGAGGAAGTGGTGGAGCCTGGTACAATTACAATATTTAAAAGGCATTTGGATGGGTATATCAATAGGAAAGGTTCAGACGGGTGTGGGCCAAGTGCTGGCAAATGGGACTGGATTTATATAGGGTATCTGGTTGGCATGGACAAGTTGGACTGAAGGGTAAGTTTCCGTGCTATATATCTCTATGACTCTATGACTGAACACCCTTCAAGCCTGGCAACATCCTGATTTAGCATTTATATTGCCATTTGTCCACTGTCACTCTATCCCTAACCGCACTGTGGGTGTACCTACAGCACACGGACTGCAACAGTTCAAGAAGACAGATCATCACTGTCTTCTCAAGGGCTGATAGGATGGACAATGAATTCTGGTCTTGCTGGGAGTGCACGCTTCCCAAGAGTGAATTATTTTTTTCTTGAAAAAAACATACAGTCTTTCAAGCAAAAGTAATGGCCAGTGTGTGAATTTCACAAATACAGCTACTTAGCTTTAAGTGGTGAACTCTATCAGTGGACAACTGGAAGGCTTCCCACTTTTTTTTATTAAACGTGTGCTTTGTGCAATGATTTGCGAGCTGCAATACAATAAGGAGAGTTCATATCAAGAGTACTTTGCTGAAATTGGGTGGTAGACATCATCAGTTTGGAAGATCCTGTTGAAGATGTTGGTGAGTTGCTGCAGTGCACCTTGAAAATGGTATGTACTACTGCCAGTATACACAAATAGTGGAAAAACTAAATGTTTAAGCTGCTGGGTGGAGCATTGGTCAAGCAAGACAATTTACCTTGATGATGTCCAGCTTCCTGAGTGTTGTTGGAAATGAACACGTGCAGGCATGTGAGCTTATTCCATTGCACTCCTGACTTGCGCCATTGTAAATGTTAGACAGGCTTAGGGGAGTTGAGAGGTAAGTTATTCCCACCTCTGGCTTACTCTGACAAGCGCAATATTTATACAGCCGAGATAATCCATGTTTCTGGCCAATAGTAACACCCAGGATGTTGATGGTAGAGCGTCAAAGGAAGATGGTTAGGTTTTTTTCTTCTTGGAGTCAGTCATTGCACTTGAGTTGTAGGAAAGTGCTCATCCCCAGCTTAAATGTTGCCCAGGCCTTGTTGCAAGGGGGTTCGGACTGCTTCAGTATCTGAAGAGTCACGAATGGTACCTGAACACGGCAACCATCAGCAAACATCCCCAATTCGAAGCTTATTATTGAAGGCATGTCATTGATGAAGCTGCTGAAGGTGGTTTGGCCAAGGACACTATGATGAGTGGGGTTCTTGTGTCAAGGGGGTAGTGTCCCAACCGTAGATCCAGGAGGCCTAGGTTCAGGTCCCACCTGCACCAAAGGTGTGTGATAAAATCTCTGAACAGGTTGATTTAAAACACATACACTAAGGAACTCCTGCATCCATATCCTGGGAGATGAGATGATTGACTTTCACCAATCTCTGCCATTTTCCTTTCAGCTCTGTATGATCTGCTCCAGCAGAGAGATTTCTCCTGATTCCCATTGGCTCCATCTTTGTGCTCAGACACACTACAACCCATTAGCTCTGTGGTACTTCATCTCCCCGCACAAACTTTTGGACAATGCTGTTATTTTTGACCATATGCAGTCGAATCCATGGCTAGGGAGTCTTTTATTTATTGATTTTGGCAAAAAGAATTCCATGAATATCTGACGTGGGCAGAGGAATGGAGTACTCAAACATGGTGACTGGACATACTTGTTAGTATCGTCTCCAGATAATGATGATAAGATACCACCAAGATGGCAGTGTAGTAGCAACGCTGTGTTCAAGCTCCTGAGCTCGTCTGCTTTTCTTTCTTTTTTTGTCTTTCTGTTTGCTTTTGCTGCTTTTTTTCCCTTTTTGTATAATGTCTTTTGCTTTGACAAAGCATTGGTGACGGACCCTGCCCAGACATGTTCTGGGATCCAGTTGTGGTACTGGTAGTTATCAAATTGGAGGCGGTGGCAGCAGCAGGAGATCAGAGGCAGTGGTATCAATGGCAGCAAGTACTCAGCTCCTCCCGACACTCCAGGCCGTGGCCTGGCCCAGGTGGCTGAACCGAGATAAGCCTTAAATAAGACTTTAACATCTGGACGTTTCTCATTCTTTTCGGTTTTGTTTCTTTTTATTGCTGCTTTTTTAAAAAAAGTTTCCAGTTTGGCAATCAAGTGTGTGAAAAAGACAGTGCTGGTAACGTCAGTGAAGGCAAAATGGTGCCAAAGACTGGTGACTTTTCTTCCAGCAGGTGGCGACGCGGTGAAGGGGACTTGGGCCTGGCCAACAGGCCCATGGTCCGTGATGGTGCACTTAACAAGAAGGACTCTAAAGTTGGAAACTTCCTTTATTTCATTTTTCTGCCTTTATATATATTATGGTTTATTTTTCCGTGTTTTAAGATGGTGCCGGACATTATACAACACTTCTTATGTATTTTGTAACAAGATACATATGACAATAAATAAATAAATGCTACTCCAAAATAAAAAAATTTCAATTATCTGCTTTCTCTGAAGAGCTTGGCTGTCTTTTTTTGGTTACCTTTGCTAAGCATGCAACTTGTACATTTAAAGGTAATCCCTATTTTAACTTCCCCATATATGTTGAAAATATTGTATAAATGGCAGTTACTATGAGATTTTTGTGTAATTGCTTGAGAGCGAAGAGATCAGTATATGCAATGTATTAATGATGTTGTCGCGTTAATTCTTTTGGGGGAAAACAGCAGTGAACTTAATAGGGTCCAACCATGTGTTAAAATATCAGTTACATGCCAAGTGCAGCCTTTACAATTTGTGGCACTTATCAAGCTCTTTGTTATCAAAGAGCAGACAAAGTTTGAATAACAGATGTCTTCTGAATCAGCATTTATACCTCATGAATGGCCTCGTGTCTCGCAATCTAAGGCTAACTTCTGACAATTATCCCACCCCCAACCCCCACCCAGATGAAACATCTTTACCATGAAAGAATAATCTGCAAAAGCAAAAGAAAAAACTTGCATAATGAAGACACATTCTCCACCCAGCCTTGAAACAGTCAGCTCCCCGCACCAAACTCAAGTGTATTGGCTGATTCTCTGTTAGCAGCAATATGATTGACAAGCAGAGCCAGCAGCAGTTTACATACTCACAGCTTGGAATGAGACTGGGCCAAAAGTACTTAATTGGGTTGTAGAGAAGTGAGTTATGAAAAAGTAGGAGTTCAAAGATATTTCCTCAGCCTGATAGAAGTGATGTTCTACAGAGATATATGCTGTATTTGTGAGAGTTTGCTCATCACAAATTAACTGTCATGTTTCCTACATTGTGCTTGAGACATCTGGTGGTTGTGATAAGCACAATATAAATAAATCAAGAGACAGCAAACTTGTAATTCCTACAGTACAGTTTAATAAAACATCTACTTGCAGTTAAGTAGCACTTTTTTTTTAAAATCCCTATGTCCCTTGATTTCCCTCAAGTCCAAACACCTACCAACAATCTCAGCCTTCCATCTATTCAACATTGAGCATACACAGCTGGGGTTGGGTGAGGGATAGAGACTTTGAAAGTTTCACAAACATATGTTGTTGTTCTGTGAAACATTCTTATGAGCTGTAAGAGCCGGTTCTCCATACTACTTTTCTCAATTTAATTTTCCAGTCTATGTGAGCTGCTTATTTCTTGCTAAATGTGCCATCCGGCAGTATTGCCACTATTAGGACCTCGAAAAATAACTTACATCCCAATGTTTCCTGTCCCACGTGATTTATTATCTCGATCCATATCAATTCTAGTTCCTATTCTCCAAAGCAGGCCAGACCAAAAGCATACTCGAATAGTTATGTTACTTTTTACAGTAGGAGTGATTTGTTAATTGTTCTTTAAATATTACACCTTCTAACGGTTATTGCAATATGCTTAATCTAGGATGTGATTCAGGCTTTGGAAAGACAATGGCTCAGCACTTTGACTCCCTGGGCTTTGAAGTGTTTGCTACAGTGCTGAATAAAAATGGACCAGGAGCAAAGGAGCTGTCACAGATGTGCTCAGAGCAACTTACCTTAATTCAGATGGATCTCACTAAACCTGAGGATATCGAACAAGCTTTGCAAATCACGAAGGAGAAGCTTGGGGAGAAAGGTAACAAGTGTAAATTAGCCTGAATGTTCTGGTGTGAATGTTGTCTTCAAAATATTTGAAGAATAATGCAATATCCATTGCAGGCCAAGCAGCATCATAGGAGCAGGAAGGATGACATTTCGGGCCTAGGCCCGAAATGTCAACCTTCCTGCTCCTCTGATGCTGCTTGGCCTGCTGTGTTCATCCAGCTCTACACCTTGTTATCTCAGATTTTCCAGCATCTGCAGTTCCTACTATCTTGAATATCCATTGCGTTTGTTTTAGTTTAATGGGCAAGTCTTTGAATTTGAAATAACGGCAAGGCCAACGACACTCACCTGACAGCACCTTCCAGTGACCACACAGTTCAATATGTAAATCATAAACACCCAGCTCTTCCAAAAACAGTACCCTAATAGTTTCTCACTAAGCATCTCCCTGTTCAAATACATGGAAAGGTGTAAAGGTACTTATCCAATTGTATGTGCACTAAACTCTTAGGGAAAAATTTGAAGCTTGTCCAATCCAGTAGTTTCTAATGGTGTAATATGTCTTAATTACAGCGAATCCATCTTTTTTTACTATTGGAAAGCAATTTTTTTTAACCTTCTGTCTCTAAATCATATCTTCCTTGAGTTTTCTCACTTTTAATTTTGCTTTCTATATCTGATTCAGTGTTGAATTCAATATGCAAACTGGTCTAAACTCTGCTTCAGATTCTTCGGTCTGTTTGGTTAATTGGTTTATATGCTGGTTCAGTTTTATTTCACTAATACATTAATGTTCCTTGCAAATCCTGTGCATAAATTGAAAGGCATATTTTACTCTAACACTACAAAAAGGTAATCATATTCGGAGATAGTAGGAACTGCAGATGCTGGAGGATCCGAGACAACAAGGTGCAGGGCTGGATGCATGGGCCCAAGCTATGCCTGCCTCTTTGTAGGTTACGTGGAACAATCCCTCTTCCGTACCTACACTGGCCCTAAACCCCACCTCTTCCTCTGTTACATTGATGACTTTATCAGCGCCATCTCGTGCTCCCACGAGGAGCTCGAACAGTTCATCCACTTCACCAACACCTTCCACCCCAACCT